CGCGCCGCATCCAGTGTAGACAGCATCACTGATTATAATGAGTTCTATAGATTGATCTATATATAATAAATCTCTGTTATAGATCAATGGTTCTATAGTATTTTGTCGCGCCGTGCCGCTTGTGTCTGGTGTAGACACGGTGTTAGGAATCGTTATTTGTTTTCCCTTTTCCCTTATAAGGATTCACGCTTCGGGCACACCCCCTAACTCCACCCACCCGCACACGCCGATGTCATCGTCCATCGCGATGTTTCACTGTAGACATCGCCCAACCCTACCAAGACACTGATGATGCTAAATTTCCAAAAAAAAAATTTTGTAGCCAAGTCAATTTTATACATTGTTCCAAAGCAGCTTTACATAAAATCATGTTAAAGTTTATGATATGTTCATGCCTAAAGGTACAATCACATTAGCAAAATTTGATAGGCTAAGAAGATCCATTGTCTATTGTCAATAGTGTAGCGATGTATAAAGCCAAACTCACACAACAGACACTTTCAAGCTAAATTCACATGACCAACTAACAAAATCTGCATGGGTAACTTTTTCGCCCTTACATGAAACGCCCAATCACACAGAATCCTATTGGAATGACTGGATTTCACTGGCAAAATTTTGACTGCACTTTCATAGTTAGGCAAAAATATAGTTTACATTTTGCTATGATGTAAACAATCAAGTAGTTAAGATTTGCTGTATAGTCTATATCACTTTAAGTGAGAATATGGGTTGAAAGTTGAAAATGCTAATATATCCAACTTTCTATACAGAGGTGGGTGATAATATAGTTTACTTTTGGTGACGATTAGACAATTAAGCAATTAAGAATTGCTATATAGTATATATCAGCATTGAACAATTATATCAGCTTTTCCATGGTAAGGCAATACATTTTCAAGTGATTTAGAGCAAACTTGAGCTGTATGTTTGGTCATGGAGGCTGATCACAGTGACATTATTATTGTGGGTAACTGTCATAGCACCACCTGGCAGCAGGAAGTCTGTCTCTTACACCGGTTTTGAAATAGTCCTCCTAAATTTACCTGCTTAAAAGCACGTCCATTGTTTTCCTAAAGACTGAGCCGATCATTACTGCTTGGAGCTATATTTCAGTCATTGAACTCTCCAGTTGTGATATATCTGTGCTAAACTGTGCTGAAGTATTAATCTCATGTCATTAAATCTGAAGGATAATGCAGCTATAAAAGCAGCACAGAAATTCTTGTAACATTTTGACTTTTGTCTCTGCTGCAGGAGCTCGCTCTAAACGTCTAATCCCTGTTGTCTACAAATCCATGAAGGAGCCTTTTCCCAGCATTCTCCGTTTTCTGACCATCTGTGATTACACCAGGCCCTGCACACAGGTCTGGTTCTGGACCCGGCTGGCCAAGGCGCTCTCGCTGCCCTGATCTTTTCTATAGACACTGTTAAAGGGGTCATATGATGCTGCTAAAAAGAACATTATTTTGTGTATTTGGTATAATGAAATGTGTTTATGCGGTTTAAGGTTAAAAAAACACATTATTTTCCACATACTGTACATTATTGTTTCTCCTCTATGCCCCGCCTTTCTGAAACGCGTCGCTTTGTTTTTTAAGACTTTAGTCTTTGCAACTTTACAGATCTTCTTTATGCACCAAGAGCTTGTAACACTCCAAAGAGAAAGAAAAAATTGAAATCGCATCATATGACCCCTTTAAAGGTTTATTATGCAGTCATCACTGGGTAAAGCTATTCTCTGGAGGATGAAGGGAAAATACCTTAAGTGAATCTTTGCTTGCTTGGGAGAGTTTCTCAGACTAAGTAGTGAGTCCAGCTTATTAACATTTCAAGAAAGGTACTTTTTGTGGTATTTACGACAACGATACGTCTGCCTTAATCAAAAGGTTGCTCAGTTTCCAAAGCAAATCCCTACAAACGGTTATTCATTTAGTTTCTTGTCTTGTTCGCAGTGTGCAGAAGTGTGTTTATTTTGTTGTTTTTGTATGTGAAATCTGAAAGTGCATCAGCTATTTCATTTTATCTCTGATTTGCTATCGCTAAACTTTAATTGAAGCTTTTTGAAGTGATGTATGTAGTAGTATGGGCTCATAAGAAACACTTTTGCTCCGATGTTTTAATTTGTCTTTCATACTGGCAGTGTTTTGTGTTATAAAATATTCATGTAAAATATATTTGTGTATGTTATGTTTGCTCTGGCCACGCAGTCATGGTTGGTTAACCATGTTTTTGCGTCTTGAGTACCTTAATCTTTGACGGTACATGAATATCAACTGTCTTTAATCTGTTAGATCAGACTTTGTTTTATATGAAAACAACAGAACTTTTATATTGTTCACACATTTTACAGCATTGTACATACAGATGAATATATATTGGCTAATATGCATATAGCATTAATTATTACTCAAAAACGTATTCATATCTCATTTCATTTTTGTGTATTAAGATCAAGTTGCCACATTTACCACACTTCCTGTTAGTGGAAACTCTTTCTACTGAAGCAGTGAGAAATTCTTCTGAAAAAAAAAGAACAAAAAAAACACTTCTGAAGCTCATTAGAAAAACAAACGAGTAGTAACCTCTGCTGCAAACCTTGCAGATTTTAAGATAGAAGTGTGTGTGTGTGTGTGTGAGAGAGAGAGAGACAGAGTTACAAGATTTACAGCATACATTACATGCTTTTTTCTCAAACATGTTTGGTTATTGATTGTACAGACTGTGGGGTTGATATTATGAATAGAGTGCCTTTTGAGTTGCTACTTAAAAACTGACCACTGAACCAATGACAGTGAAGCACAGTATTTGTAATGTCTCACATTTTTTTATCAAATAATAAAATTCAATTTAGTTTTTGTCATGTCCCCGGGTGCAATGCACTTCTATCATGGACTTTATTAAAGTATTCTTGAGAATATTGTTGCAGTCGATCCTCATTAAATAGAATTTTCCTGTGTTTTCAATTTTACTTTCCATTCTACTCTTTTGTAATATCCCTTTAACTCAAGGCAGTTGCCTAATGACATCATCCTCCAGGAAGTGACCTGCATTAGCATACGTTTTCCATGGTTTTATTGGCTTGTTTCACATTCTATAATGAATTTACAGAAATATTATGAAAATATCAAAGGATAGTAACAGAATTATGTGTTTTCAGATCGACACCATGAAACTCCAGTTATGACTAGCGCTGTATTTCCATAATGTCAGGCAATCTGTTGCCCCCCCCCCCAATTTTTAAACTTGACTTACTTCTAAAAGTACTCTACCATTTAGGAATACTTTTAAAATAATGGTCAATGTACTGTTTATGCCACGAGATGGCAGTATACTAAACCGTAAAAAAAGGCCACTACTGGCTACAATGCATTTTCTAAAAAATAAAAAATAAATAAATATTGTATTATATTGCAAGGGGGAAAAGTCTAGATATTTATTCTGTTGATATTGCTATATTAACTATAGGCTGTTATATGTACACTGGAAAAAAAAACTTTCATGGGCAGCCTAGAATATCATGCACTTCCACAACAAAATATATATATATTTTTTTTTTTATTGAATAATAATAATAATAAAAAACCTCTTTGTTCTCTTTCTCTGTATCATTGTTTCTACACTGGTGATTTTTTCAACTAACTTTTTTATTTATACCAAACAAGGCCATAATCATATCTAGAACATTAGGGGGACTATTGTTTTGAGGAAAATATTAAGACCAGACCACTATGGTAATGGTAAAGGAACTAAATAAATAATACGATTTTTTTGTATTGCAAAATATTTGCAAATAATATTTTTATTTTAAAATATGCACCCAGTCAATTTTAGTTGTATTCCTAATATGTTGAAAACGCAAGACAGAAAATGCTATTGTCGTCACAATAATTATGAATGACATGAATCACGTAAATGACAGCCCAACTTTCAATTCAAAACGGCGGAATTTGACAAAAGGAAAAAAACCATTAACAATAAGTCAAAAGGAGTAAGCTTTCAACTGAACTGTATAGCCTATACATGCATTTTAGACGCTTATATTATGCTCGTGCCCCGTCCATGCAGTGAACGCACGTTATTGAATAATGTTTCTTTTTTTTAATTTTCTTTTAGAACATTAAAACTGCTCAGGTAATTTCAGTGGTAGGCTATGATACATATTCGTGTATTAAACTCCTCGTAACTCGCAAACTCCCCGTGATAGCGCGCAAATATTTCTGCCCGTTTTCGCTCGTTGTCAGCCTCTGCTTTTCTAGATTCAGATGTTCCAATTCGATTCGATTTCGATTCATTTTAGACGCTTATATTATGCTCGTGCCCCGTCCATGCAGTGAACGCACGTTATTGAATAATGTTTCTTTTTTTTAATTTTCTTTTAGAACATTAAAACTGCTCAGGTAATTTCAGTGGTAGGCTATGATACATATTCGTGTATTAAACTCCTCGTAACTCGCAAACTCCCCGTGATAGCGCGCAAATATTTCTGCCCGTTTTCGCTCGTTGTCAGCCTCTGCTTTTCTGCAGCAGACTGAAGCCTCCGCGCGAATTCAGTGCGCCTTGCATTCAGCTAATAAAAGCAAAATGCTGCAAATTTTCTGGAGTTATTTTATGACTGTTTGGGCAGTCTCAAGCTATAGCTTAAACTTCTCAAAATACAGTTAGCTTCAGATTAGTTTTAATCTATGCACAAAAAATTTACGTAATCTTTATCTAATTCTGATTGGGTGGGCAAGACAGTCATTTGGGTGGGCTCAGCTCACCCCTGCCCATGCCTGGAGCCGGCCCTGATACCAGTTTGTGCAAAGAACGAAACTAATAAATTACATACAATTAACTTTGCTTGATTATTCTTCTTACTTAGCCTTTCCATTTAATTTGTCATATAAAATTTTCTACTAAATAAATCATAGTAATACATTTATTGTTAATATTGCAAAAACATATTACTAAATATCACAAATTTATTGGAGTAATAATAACCAGTAACTATGATATTTTGGCGGAATCCACGGTTACAAAGCTAGAGATAGATGAGGGTAATTACACACTCAAGATGGCCGACTGTCGCGTCCGTCAGTGTGTAGAAATGTGGTGGGCGGGGCTATTGGCTCTAGTGGCAAAATTTGGGAATGACAGAAAGACTATCGAAGATAATCGCGGAGAGGAGCTGGAATGCTACTGCTTTGCGGATTGCAGAAACATTTACACGTTGTTTTCTATAAGCACCCAACTCTAGTGCTTGGATTCAGCAGGATCTAAATAAAGGTACGCAATCCTGAGACATGTCGGAGGACCTGAGCTCCCAACCCTGGTCCATCAACAAGGATGACTATGAGCTGCAGGAGGTGATCGGTGAGTGTGTAACGTTACCTTCTGTCATAGCCGGTGAATACATGGTATCGTGTGCCTCTAGACACAAGTTGCATTTAGCTGCAAACGCTGCGTAAAACGCTTGCTGTCCAGGGTAACGTTAGGTTGCTGGCTGTTCTGTAAGTGTAAGTATGAAGTTTAAATGGTGTTACTTGAACCCGGATTTGGGTTTTTAAACAAATTGGCAGTTGTTAAGAACACGTGACATTGGATTTAAACGCTCAAAAAGTCTTAAAAGCTAGTGAGTTAAATAGGTGTCTGCAAAAGACTCAAACCTCCACTTCAGTTGTCAAGCCTGGCACGTATGCCAATTTCAAATTAATCTCTCTCTCTTTCTCTAAGCATATTTAACTGTTTCACCACTTTACTGAAATTCTGAATGTGTCGAGGAAGTTTATTGTCGCTCACGTAAATAGCCAGTACCATATAGTTTCATGTATAGTTTGCATTTCAGATTGCCACAAAACAGCAAAATTATTCTGCACGCGACAACGCCTCATTCTGCTGATAAGCCTGAGCACGTGCAGTAACGCTCCTTCAGTAATGACGGCCTTGTCTTTTGCTTCTTTAATATTCTTAGTGTGTGTGTGTGTGTGTATGTATGTATATATATATATATATATATATATATATATGTGTGTGTAATATATATATATATATATATATAACACATAAAATATCACATATATTAGGCTACAAATGTTAATATTATTAAATATTATACATAGACATAAACCTATTGGTTGTCAACATTGTGCAATCTATAATGCAGGTACCGCCCACTTTTGCTGCTGGTTAAAAAACTGCTTACTGACTAATGCTCAGCGTTAAATGTTTACACGTGACTGTTAAAACATTTCGTAGAGTGAGCATAGTCTGCTTAATTTAGAACCGAGTCAAATGTCAGACCAGTGAGAACCCCCTTTTCATTTTGGGCCTCAAAAACCCTCAGAGTAGGACATATCCTGTCATAAACCAGGCTTCAGTTGTCGCGTGCACGGGCAGACCCTTTACGAACCTCTTTATTCACAGGGGTCTGACTGTACATTATAAACACATACAGGCCTGTGCACATATTTTACTTTTTAAAAATGTATTCAGTTTGCTCTAAGAAAAAAAAAACGTGTGTGTATGTGTATCAAAAGTTTTGAATACTCAAGATGAATTTGTAATGTTTTTTGAAAGAAACATCTATTATAAGTCAGGATGCATTTGTTTGATCAAAAATACTGTAAAACAGTAATGTTGTGAAATATTATTACAATTTTAAATAACACATTTTTATTGTAATATTTTCAAATGTATTTTTTTCTGTGCTGGCAGAGTTGAATTTTCAGCATCATTACTCCAGTCTTCAATGACACGTGATTCTTCAGAAACCATTCTAATATGCTGACTTGATGCTCAGTTATTATCATAAATTATTATGGCCTGCAAATATTAATAATGACTTATGCAGTGTTAAAACGTTACAACAAATAGAAAACGGTTATTTTATATTTTAATAATATTTCAAAATAATACCGTTTTTAATTTGTAAAGCAGGCCTAATTGCAGCATTGTGAAGCATGAGACTTATTTTTCTTAAAAAAAAATAAAAATCAATTATTCTAAAATGTTGACCAGTAGTGTATATGCGTACACACATGCGTAGTATTAAACACATAGCGCATGCCATTCATTACCTGCAATTTTGTATGATCTTTTTACTTCAGCTAGCACACAAAATAACTCTGTGTAGACTGGTGGTTAAAGGTTTATTCTGGGGACTGAAAGGTTAAAGAAGGGATGCACTGAAAAAGATATTAAACACAAGGTTCTCCAGAGGGAGTTTTCTGTAATAATAAATGCACCATATGTGGCTTAACAGAGTCCACCACCCCCTTGTGTTGTGGCCATAAAGACTCAGTTATATGCTGTAATTCTTTTTGATGATCCATGACTCTGTCCAGAGAGTGAGTTTTACAGCCAGGCAGTATAACGACACTACAGAGGTTCTCCAAATCTACTTTCTAGGCATGATCTACTCCCATGTGTAACTCTCTTCGTTCTCTGAATGTTTTATTGACTGTATTGTTTTGGTTACTGGTTTGTTTAATCTCGTTACATCGCAGGTTTTTAGAATGAGATTACCTCTATACGCAGTCACTGGAGTGCTGGAAGAGTCATCTGATACCTGACATATATCTTTCCAGGGCTTTAGACCCCAAAGGGAGGTTTTCCACACAGCTTTTTACATGTTCCATGTTTTGACAAGGTTTTTACTAGTTTTCAAAGCTGTGAAGCTCTTGCCAGAGTAACTCCTAATACAGTCCAAACATTTACCACTTTAGTATATAAGTATTAAATTAGGGTAATTAAATGATGTTAATATGCTCATATAGTTTCATGTTTTCAAAATGCAACATAAAAAAGGTTATTGCTCTTTTTCAACAAATTAGTAAAATTATGATTTTGGCAATTGCTTGCCTTTGTTCGGAAATAGTTCTTTTAAAATGTTTAAAAAATTTGTCATGTTAATTTGTCAAATTTGCCAGCCTAAAAAAAGATATACAATGCCGTGAAAAGGTTTTTGCCCCCTTCCTGGTTTTTTATTTTTTGCCACACTTAAAAGATTCAGATCATCAAACAAATTTTAATATTACACAAAGATAACCTGAGTAAATGCAAAATGCAGCTTTGAAATAATGATTTCATTTATTAAGGGAAAAAAAAGCTGTCCAAACCTGCCTGGCCCTACGTGAAAAAGTAGTTGCCCCCTAAATCTAAAAACTGGTTGTTGCCACCCTTTGCAGCAACAACTGCAATCAAGTGTTTGCGATAACTGGCAATGAGTCTTTCACATCGCTGTGGAGGAATTTTGGCCCACTCTCCTTTGCAGAATTGTTTTAATTCAGCCACATTGGAGGGTTTTCGAGCATGAAAGGACTGTTTAAGGCTTCAATGTTAACGACGAATTAGAAGCTGCTGCTGCTTGTCATTTCCCTTCACTGAATTATGTGGCCTACGTTTTCTCGACGTGCGTGTTATATCCATGCACATGTGCGGTGTGTGTTTGCGTGCAATCAGTCATCGCGGCAAGAGTGAAACGTTGACTAGTGTCAGATGCAATATATGCAGTAATAGTGAACAAAGGAGGCAACACTAGTAATATAATGAAACATTTACTAACAAAACACAACATCTACCTCAAGCAATGCGCTGTATTATGTCTCGCGGCTCCAGCTCCAACTGCAACTCGCGAGACACATTCACATCAAATGTCAATTCAGCGTTAGAGTTACACTCACGAGACACTGCACTT